ACTCCAAAAGCAGTAGCTAAAGACAGTAAAATCAGACAAGTTAATCCTAATGGTATCACGGCCAAAGACTGCTTTGTTGATCTTGAGCCAACTGATAAGGATGCACAGCCCTCTGTGCACCTCAGGTTGGGTAACCATTAGCTAGGTTCACTGCTGTGGGGGAAATCCACTGCCAAAAAAACTGTTTTGGAGCAGGCTTCATTGCAGCCATCCAAATGCTGATCAGAAGAGAAAACCTGGATCAGCATCAAGCAAACATACCAAGTTAATCCAGAATCATTGCTACAGTGAACGTAACACTGGAGTACCAATGGTCTGCAGCTGAACACTAGAGCTGTTCATGACCTGGCACTCTTCATCCATCTTCTTCTAGCCAAGTGGAACAAGCACACAACAAACAAGTGCCTGATCATGTAACGGGGTACAGTCACATGCTGCACTTTCTGCAGTAGAGAAAGCACCTAACAAGTCCTCCTATCATAGATTGATTCATCAAACCTGTTTGCACACACACCAGTTTCCCAGCTGACTACATCAAGTTAAAAATAAACAAACAAACAACAACAAAAAAAAAACCCACAAAAAACAAACAAACAAAAAAAAGAGCAGAAGGTTGCTGTTTATAACCACAATAATTTCAGTGGTCATATTTATAGTGCAAATATCTGAAGCCAGAGGGTAAGCTGAAGGATAGCGAATCACACTGCAGTTACAAGAATAAATGACTGAGTTGGAAGGAGGGAAGAAAACAGAGGGTTTCAAATGTATAAATTGATATTCCAGTTTCACTGCTGACAACAAGGTTTGAAGTAACTATCTTATCAACTAACAGAGGATTTGAATTTTCCAAGGATCCTGTAGGGAGGCTCTCTTCCTGGGGCTTTCAGAAAGGATTTGCCCCTCTGCAGAACAAGGTACAACAACTGCTGTGCTTGAAGAAATTCCCAAAGAACTGTTGTTTCTGAAAAAGCCTACATAGAGCTCCAGCACAGGGCAGATATTCTCTTGAGAAGTGGTACCAATAGCTGTTTAATCAAGCTGCAATTCTCTTCCTATAGTTTTTAGAGAGAAGTTCAACTTCTGCATTCACATGAGGAAGCATGTTCAGAAGAAACGGATAGTTCCTTGTCAGCTGATCCTATGACACAGATTTTCAGGGTATGTTGTGCACTAGGTGCCAAGCTAAATCTTGTATGAGCAGCAAGTAGGACTTGACTTATGACATAGTCAGCCCCAGTTTAGGCAACTGCTAATTGGCTGAGATTCTGTTATCCAAGCAATAGTGTCTTCCTGACTCCTATGTACTTAAGGGTGTTGCCTGATGCTCTGAGGAGATTGCCAGTCAGTGGAAATGACTTTCCTCGAGTTTCTGACATCAGGGTTATGTACAAAGGCCACAAGTGTGCAATGGCCAGTGCTGCTTGTTGTTGAAATACTTAAAATTCACAGTAAGAAAAACAAAGATGTACAGAGGTTTTTCAGTGCTTCACACCAGCACTTGCAGACTCACCTTATGCCTTAGCATTTCTTCTGTGGCTGATAACATAGCTCATAGAAAAAGAAACATCTAATGCTTCCTGGGAGCTTAAACAACAGCTGACACATAATGAGTACAACACAGTGTGTGTGATGGCTCAACACCTGCTCTTTGCTACACAAGTAAAACTACTAACCTTGATCCACATAAAAAAAAAGTGGTTCCACAATCACAGCAGTATAGTTAAGATGGGAAAACATACAGAAATTGTCTCAGACTGACTCATTATCACTTTGTGATTAACACTTTCATATGTTGGAAGGTTTTTCACTGAAGAGAATAAAAATGATAAAATAACCTGCCAAACTCCTGCACTCACCACTGTACTTTAATTTGATGAGGCTACTGAAGAACTGTTTTTCCAGAAGCATTGGTGAGGTCTTCATTAATCAGCAGCATTTATAAGGTAGAACTGAATATAGGAGAAGAAGATTAAGAAAACGGTGCTCACCATGCAAGCACACAGGAAGGCCTGGAATCCACCTATCAAGTCATCACCTATACCGGACCAATAAAAATATCAGTCTGTAGGGACAAAGAAGAGTCCTCCAACTGATTCCAGCACAAATGGATTCCTTCAAGAAATAACCCATACAGGACACAATGACCAAGGAACTGAAAGAACAATATGAATGCCTGGGTGAGGACCATCAAAGGAAACGAAGAAAGGCTCATTGAGTTATTTTTCTGGCCTGACTTCTTCTTACAAGAACGTACTTTCAATACAAATGCATATACAGAAGCCCCAGGTCATCTGTTAGTAATGTGAACACAAGTACAGCAGGATCTGGAGCACTGCAATATCAAAAGATCATAAGCATTCATTTTAAACATGAAACTAGAGAAGAACAAAAAAAACACAAACATAATACAGATCTGAAAATGAGCAAATAAGTACAGTGCAAAATTCCAAGGTGAAGCATGAAACAGAGCAGAGACAGGAAAAAAAGAAAGTAACAGAAAAAAAGAAGGGATTAGAAAATAATGTTGGAGTCTCTGTAGCTAGGGCACTATTCCAGTGAGCAAGACATGCGGGGCTAAACCTCAGTGTGAGGAAGCAGCAACTGGACTCAATTCTACCTTTGTCCAGAAAAGGACTGTAAGCACATTGTGCCAAAAAGGTTTGAAAGGAGCAGCAAAAGTTAAGCATCTAAAGAAGGTATTACAAATGCCTGCATCTATGAAAACAACCTGTGGCTTTGTTCCAGCCATGACTTACACATCTCAGACATGCCTCAGCCCAGCAGGGCTCCTGCCACAACTGGGGCAGGCAGCATTTGCTGACAGACATCTCAGGCAATCCAAGCCCTATGCTGCACAGCATATTAAGGTTTTAATTCTGTTCCATGAAAACCAGGTGCCCGGAATTCAAATTTTATAATGCCAAGCCTTAATCTGTCATGCCTTAATCTGATATAGCCCCAGTGGACTGTACTCCAGCAATGATGTTTGTTTCAAGAAACAAACACTGAAGACTCTTATTCAGAGCAGAAAGTTCTGTCCATGCTTTAGTACTGAAAGATTATTTGAGAAGCTCTCAAATAAGGATACATCAGGATAAGGATGGCAGTTATTTCACTAAACTTCACTGGGTTCAGATTGATAGGTTGATTTGAGCTTGAGAACTGTAGCTACAGTGCACACTTCTGCTTAAAGTTACAGATTTATGCTTTAAGAGAACAAGTTCTCATGGAAAAACTCTATCAGCAATGAAATATAAGAAAAATTAGCAGCCAGCAGTTCATCACATGCAGAAGTATGCAAACACTGGGTCATGGGTGAGTGACCTTCATGTAAGTTTATGGGGGACCCATGACAGTAGGGCAACCTGCTCTGGTGTTGTAGAAGTGTAAGAGACTGGTGGGAATGAAAGCCCTGATGGCTCTCTCCCTGTGTGTTAATGTCAGAGGAGGAAGAACTGGCAGCTGAAATACCTCAAGCAATTCCTAGGGATCTTGTATACTCCAGTTCAACAGTCAAACTGACATCTACTGTACATGCACAGACACACTGTCATTATAATTGTGTTATTCCTTGAGATCCACTGTTCTTGTATTACTCAGCTAAAGGTCTGATGTTACCATGGACTGTCTGGATTCACTCAAGAAGTAGCCAGGAAAGTTACCACAACATAAACACTTTAATCACTATGTATTCAAACTGGAGACTCAGGGACAATGGTACTTTAAGGCTTATTAGCTACGCGTTACATAAATCAGACACAGTTTGGGCCTCAGCATTTCCTCAATGATTCCAGTTGCAGCCTGTCAAGTTTATGCTACCTATGGCTGCTACTGCCTCACAGGGCTACAGCCCCAGCTCAATAACAACCGGTGTAACCAAAGTGAAAGCTGAACAACCAGCTCAGCTAGATCATCCTGTGTAGGGAAATCAAGACAACAACAACAAACACAGAACATCAACACTAGCACCGAGGCTCGTGTTCCTTAGGGGAAAGTTTCCTCGGACACAGAAAAGCAGTGGGTTCCAGACTCCTCTGTAGTGAAAGGCTTAAGAAGATGAGCAGGCAAACCACGTGTTTTTGGAACATTTCAGCGCCGTCAAAGACAAAACGCTACACCTCTGGAAAGCAGTGTGCTAAAGATATGATTTGAACCACAGCAAGAGATCAGAATGCCTACCAAATGGCAACACTTGATGGCTGCTTAGTGCCCTAAGTCTAAGATCTGATGGCCAGAACCCAACAGAGCCCCTAAACAAGCACTCACCTCAGAGAACCAGGCTAAGTTGTGGCAAAGACTGGAAAGACTTTCCTGCAGAATTCCCAGTATCGTACTCAGCCATCTTTACCTTTCAAACTGTAAGTATATTAAACAAGCTTCAAGCAAACTTACCCTGCCCACAGAATTTCGTACGGCATTACTAACAAAAGCACACCAACTCTGGGCAGATCACTCAGGCAGCAGTAGTATGGTGTAGTGATCAGAGCTTAAGCCTTGAAGTTGTCAATAGATTTTTTCCTGTTGGACTTACAGCTTTCCTTTGCTGAAACGTGATTCCATTAATAACCCAGTATTGCCCCAGTTGCCCCCACAAATCTAATTTTAAGCTTAACAAAGCTTTTAGCATGATCCTGCTAAGCCAAGACCCTCAGGTCTATACAACGAGATATATGCTATCTCAAATCAACATGTTTTATCAGCTACCAACAGCTGCTCTGCTTGGGTGAAACTCCACTCTATCCCTACGCTCCTTCCATTTCAGAGATGTTTGGCAGTGCTCTGCATATCAATCAATAGAACAGTTCAGTTCAGAAACACTGACAGAAGCAGTACTGGAACAAGTGTCTCGTGTCTTGAGAATGCACGGAATTGCCACAAGCCACGTATGACAAAATGTGACCATGACTATCAGAGGAACCCCAAGAACAGAGCTGATCTCCAGCGAGTTCAGTCAGTATGAGCCATACGCCTGAAGCTGTACCTTTAATCAATCACCTTACCTTTATTGTTCCTACAGCAGATAGCGAAGCAGCGTATGACTTGTGAAAGTTCTGTAAGAGAAATAAAGACATCTATTCACTCAGAACACATTCTATTACACGCTGAGTAGATGACACTTCAAAAGTCTCTCTGAAAATCTGTCTTCTTTCATGAAAACTTTATGAAAAAACAAAAACACAGCTATAAAACCAAGCCAGCAGCCAGACCTGGGCCCAGACCTCAGCCTTCCCCAACCAGACCAACACCGTGTGTCTGCAACAGATACAAGAATTATGAAGGTACTTTCTGCTGAGTCACTACTAAGTAACTACAGTAAGAGCACTTTTTTCATAATTATCTACCCTTACTTTACCCTGCACGCGGCGCAGCGGCTTCCCCTCATCCCTTCGGCGGGGTCCCAACGCTCCCAGAACTCTCAGACTGGAAGCTGTGAAACGCTGAGCGAGGCAAAGGCACGGCTCTACCCTTTGCCAGATCACGGGATAAAGCACAGATCAATGGAGCTGCTGGCAAGGCTGGGAAGACGCGCGTGCTGAAGCTAGCGCTAGGAAGCGAAGCAGCTATCGCAGGCGCCGAACGCCTCCTCGCACGGCCGCTCGCAGCCACGCGGCCCGCACTGACGGGCATCACGCGAGGAAATGACGGACCCCCTCCGCCTCCCCCCTTCGCGTTCGGGGTCCGCCCGCGCTCGGCGCACCGCCGCCGGTCCCGCAGCTCACCGCGCACCGCATCCCTTCGGCGACCGGGGGGCCGGCAGGGAGGCGGCCGGGGCGAGAGGGCCCCGCGGAGCTCCGCGGTTCTTCCCCGCCCAGGGACGGCCGAGCGGCAGCCGCGGGCACCGGGAGGGCACCGGGAGGGCGCGACGCCCGGCGGCGCTGCCCCTCAGCTCGGTGTCCCCCCGCGGCCACATCTCCCCGCTCTCCGCTCACCTCCTCCCGTTAGCTCCTCGCAGCCGCCCAGCCTGGCACGGCGGCCGCGCACCCAAGGTGAGCGCCTGGGGCGCGGGGCGGGCGGCGGCGAGCGGCCAACTCCGGCCCCCGCCCCTCCTCCTTGCCGGCAGCGGGCGGCCGCGGGCGCGGCTGGGATTCGTAGTCCACCCCCCGCCGTCCCGAGCCGCTCGCACTCCCGCCGCGGCCTACACGTCCCGGCGTGCCGCGGGGCGGGCGGTGTCCGCGGCCTCAGGCGCCTCAGGGGTTCCCGGCGGCCTCGGCCGGGAGCGGGAGGGGCTGCGGTGGGCGGCTGTCAGTGTCAGCCATCGGGCGCTATGGGGACGTCAGCGCCAAGCGCTCACCGCTCTTTTTTTTTTTTTTTTTTTTTTTAAATTTTATTTTACTTCACTTTTGTTTTTTTTATAACCTACCTCATCCTTCTGGCTCCCCGCTCCGCCGGCAGCGGGAAATGGCGGGCTGAGCCCTCACGGCAGGTGCGGGACGGCGCCCGCGTGTGTGGGAGCAGTAGGGTCCGGGTGCGGGTGCCGGAAGGGGTTTCCTTCAGGGTTTATTTTTGTTTTCCAGAGTTGTTTTGAAAAATGCAGGCAGCAGTGTTAGAATCGTGCAATCGTTAAGGTTGGAAAAGACCTCTAAGATCACCTGGTCCAACCATCAGCCCATCGCCCCGTGCCCACTAACCCGTGTCCGTCAGTGCCACATCTCCACTTTCCTGAGCAGGCTGAGCACGGTGACTCCATCACCTCCCCGGGCAGCCTGTGCCAGTGCCTCACCACTCTTTCTGAGACGAAATTTTTCCTAATACCCAACCTGAACCTCCCTTGGTGTAACCTGAGGCCATTACCTCTCATTTTATTGCTGTTATTCAGGAACAGTTATTGTGACCACCCTCCCCCGTCACCACAACCTCCTTACAGGCAGTTGGAGAGAGCCATAAGGTCTCCCTTGATCATCTTTTCCAGACTGAACCATCCTTTCCCTCACCTCATCCCCATCAGACCTGTGCTCCAGGACCTACACAGCCTTATTGCCTTTCTCTGGACATGCACTAGAGCCTTGATGTCTTTCTTGTAGTGAGGGTCCCAAAACTGAACACAGCACTCAAGGTGTGGTCTCACCAGTGCTGAGTACAGAGGAGCAAACACCTCCCCAACCCTGCTGACCGCACTACTTATACAAGCCAAGATGCCATTGGTCTTCTTGGCCACTTGGGTACACTGCTGGCTCATGTTCAGCCAGCTGTCAATTAACACCCCCAGATCCTTTTCCTTCATGCAGCTTTCCAGCCACTCTGCCCCAATCCTGGAGCCATACATGGAGTTCTGTCCTTTTAGAAGTTTACTACATACATTAGGCATCAGGCACAGACATGTGCCAGTAATGCAAATGAATGCAACAGAAAAAAGGTCTGAAGTGTTTCCTGTTGATCGAACACTTCAACACTCACAGACACACTCCTTTTTTTCGTTTTTAAGGTGCAGATTTTTGCTGCCCCTGTCTGAGGAATGCACCTCTCCAGACAGATCTCAGCAGTCTGGGTGACTGGATGTGACTTTGTATTCATTTCAGTTTGTAGAGGATTCATAGCTATTCAGTACCTGAAGAAGGCCTACAAGAAAATTGGAGAGGGACTTTTTGTACAGGCGTGTAGCAACAGGATGAGGGGGAAAGGCTTTAAACTGGAAGAGGGCAGATTTAAACTAGATATTAGGAAAAAAATATTCACTGTGAGGGTGGTGAGACACTGGAACAGTTTGCCCAGAAAGGTGTGACTGCCCCCTCCCTGAAAGCACTGAAGGCCAGGCTGGATGGGGCTGTGAGCAACCTGGTCTAGAGGGAAGTGTCCCTGCCTACAGCAGGGGGTTGGAGCCTACATGATCTTACAAATCCCTTCCAACCCAAACCAGTCTGTGGTTCTATGATTGCCTTGTGAATAAGCAGGAATAGTAGTGCGATGTCCGCACTGATTGCAGCCTTTAGCCCTTGATTTATAAATGCATTACAACACACAGATATACATCTCTCTGTTACACAAGAGAAAACACTCCGATTCTTTGAGACTTGTTTTTCTAGCTTGAGATGGAACAAAAAAATGACAAAAAAATGTAGAAACAAGTGCCTACTGGAATGTAGTATTTTGAGAACCCTAAAATGATTCCCTCTCAAATTAGATGGGTTTTTTGTTGTTGTTGATGATGTTGTTTTTTGTAGCTTGAAATTATAAATTATTTCAAAATGAAGCACAGTTCTTTCAGTTTTGTCAAACTGGAAAATTTCAAGGTCTGAACACTTCAAAAGCTGCTTTTTAAGCAAGAGGTTTGTTATAAGCAGTCTTCTCCCCAAGAGAGTGTAGCAAAAAGACATTTTGAAGGAAAAAAAAATCAGAGTAATAGAAATGCACCACATCCAACAAACTTCATTTAGGGTGGTGCTGGATGCTGGGGATACAGAACTGGGGTAAACAGAGGTACTTTGGGAAAGATACCTTTCTGATGCAGTTTTACTTATCCAAAAGTTTGTCTTTTTTTTGTACTGGGACATCAGTAGAATGTGTAAGAGCAGAGGTGCAGTGAGGGAAGTGTGACATCACCTTTGACATACTAAAGTTCTGAACTGCTTTATTACCAATAAAGCACGCATTGCAGTAACACACTACAGATAGAGCTGTAGAACTGGAGTTAGTACAGAATAAATATTGCACAAAGAAGAGGGAAAGTCGAAAACTTAAACAGGGAAATAGCAGTGTAAAAATTTTCCTGCTGGAAAATCCACAAGAGTATAAATCATTTTAAACCTTAATAATCCACAGTGAGATTTATATGAAACTCACTGTGTCAATAGCTGTATTTAAGTACATGAACTGAAGCTGGTTTTAATTTCTTGTGTTGCGTTTCAGCATGACCCAAGAGAATGTTAATAGTTCTTTTTGTTGCTTCTTTCCAGCACTGTCTGGCAAACTGGTAAGAGACGCTTCAATGCTGAAGTGCTGAACGTAGGAGAAACAACATGAAAAGTAGATGTTTGGTCAAAGCAGGAGATGGTTCAACTTCATAAGGCAGAACAAGACTCGTGCACTTGGTTGTGGAGCCTCATGAGCATCCTAGGACAGATCAAACTAGTAAAGTGGAGGTAGACATATACAGATTGAAGTAAAGCATGTTAAGATTGATGGGGATTTTCCTGATTTCAGTGGCAGTTGGCTTGGTTCTTCAAGCACTCCTGTTAATTAGTGACTACCTGTGTCCTGTACAGATATATTACTCATGTCAGGCTTTATCATTGTGTGTTATAGCAGGTATCCTAGAAGAGGCCTGAACATGAGTACATTTCCCTCTTCACCATGAAAACTTCCTGGAAAGTGTAGAAGTGCAAATGCTTAAAATGTCCTCTGAGAAGGACTGGATTTTAAACAAAGCTGTGTGCCTATTAGTTTGTATGGAGTGATGGATACAAATCAGATGAGTGGCTTTGCATGTGCTGTTTCTAGACAGTTGGAGCAATGTGTCAGCAGAAGGCTGTCAGTGCATAAGGAGAGGAGGACCTGGGGCTACCAGCCAGCTCATGCTGTCAGCAGCAGCCTAACATAGAAGCACCCACTAAATCCCTCATTCTGCCCAGTGCCTTTGGCCCAGAAGCAATCAGGAAAGAAGCCATGCTCTTATGCAAGAATTTCTTTGCCACAGTCTTTGACAAATCTCCTCTGAATGGTACAAAGCACAAACCCTATGCTCCCTCTATTTTTTTTCCCCTTTCCACTAAGGAGGCTTTATCAACTTGTTTTCTTTCAAAATAAATACAGATTCAGACTATTAATCCAGCAGTTACTGATGCCCTCCTGGATAGAACTCATGCACTTTTGGAATGCTGTTTTTACTGGGCACTTGCTTGTTGGGTACTGGCTCAAACTCTTTCCATCAGGCTCCAGGACAACGAGCCATGCCTACATTCTTAGGGCAACTGCCAGATCAGTCCCTTACCAGTTTAATTTGGCCTTGAGACTTCTTCAGCAGCTCAGGCTTGAGGTCACTGCTTTATAGAATCATAGAATCATAGAATGGTTTGAATTGGAAGGGATTTTTAAGATCATGTAGGCTCCAACACCCTGCTGTAGGTAGGGACACCTCCCTCTAGACCTCTGGCCTTCAATGCTTTCAGGAAGGGGGCAGCCACACCTTTCTGGGCAAACTGTTCCAGTGTCTCACCACACTCACAGTGAATATTTTTTTCCTAATATCTAGTTTAAATCTGCCCTCTTCCAGTTTAAAGCCATTTCTCCTTGTCCTATTACTACCTGCCCATACAAAAAGTCCCTCTCCAGCTTTTCTGTAGGCCCCCTTCAAGTACTGGAAGGCCACTGTAAAGACCCCCAGAGCATTCTCTTCTCCAGGCTGAAGAGCCCCAGCTGTCTCAGCCTGTCCTTGCAGGGGAGGTGCTCCAGCCCTCTGATCATCTTCGTGGCCCTCCTCTGTACCTGCTGCAACAGCTCCATGTCCTTCTTGTGTTGGGGCCCCAGAACTGGATGCCGCACTCCAGATGGGGTCTCATGAGAGCAGAGTAGAAGGGCAGAATCACCTCCCTCAACTTACTGGTCGTGTTTCTCTTGATGCAAGCCCTTGTTGAGCTCACACCTGGTTAAGCCTTGTGGTTCCAGAGCTGAACTAAATGGGATTTGTCTGCCAGATGCTGTAGTTTGCAGCCCTTTGGATGGCTGCTGGTGGCTGGCAGTGTGGTTGCTGCTGAGCATCCTGCAGTAGAGCCTCATGCAGATCCTGCTTGCCCACTGATGAATAAATAATGAGATGGTGCTGAGGCAGCAAGTTACCCAGTGGCATTTGCTCTGACGGGTTAGCAACTGAATGAAACAGAACCATGTTTATAGCTACTCTTGTGTTTTTTTCCCATGTGTTTTCTTTTCTAGACTAAACAAACTCTACTTGGAAGGTTGCAGTCCTATGGGTCTTGTTTTTACCACTGTAAACTGAAATCTCTTCAGTTTGTTTACATCTGTATTTAAGTGAAGGGCTCAGCAGCCGATAACTGCTGTCTACTATAGCAGCACTGACAGCTGCACGTATGTTTTCTGTGTTTTACCATA